TTCACATCTACCACTGATTACACAGAAAGGCCACCAGAAAAGATGATGCTTAAGAGCCAAAAATTCTAAGTCTGCTACATTAGGGCTGTTGTTCTACAGCTTGCATCAACTAAAATATCATCTGCATATGCTGTGTGAAATTGCACATCTCTGGACAGTTTTCAGCCAACTGCTCCTCATCTTTGATGAAAACCGATGTTATTCAGTAGCAGACAAAAATAAAACCCATTATGTTTGCTTCAGAAAGCGTCACTGAAAAGCTGCAGATAGGTCATCTCTTCCAAGAGCGGCTACTGCCCAGTTACTCATCACCACCCAGCAAAGAGGTTACCACCCATACAGACTTGCAGCAGAGTGAATCGTGTAAGAGCACAGTAATACTCTGCAGGAAAATTAATCAAGGTAATTGACCGGTGAAGGCAGACTGAGCTAATACGATGCATTTAACTGCTGATTATGCCTAAAGCATGTAACACTGCATACAAATTCTTTTGTGGAAAGGATCATTAAGCATGGTAATAATCTATGGCAGAGGAATAGAGACAAAAGGCAGGGGGCAGAGTGTCTACAATTTTCACAGCTGTTTGGGAACAGGAGGAATAAAAATCAATGCCTGTCCATATCCTGAAACATTTACAACTTCTGTGATAGCCTGAAAGCCTTAAGATAGATTTTGAAAACCACTAGCCATTAAATAGTTACTTAAGAAGTCACGCACTGCCTCCTAGGAAACTGTCTAAAGTGATATGTCTTAAGTCAGCCTCATAATTTTCATAGGTTTATTCATCTGGGGTTTTTAATCTACTTATTACTGCAAAATACCTTGAAGGTTTCTTATTTTAGTCTTTAAAAACAGAATACATATGCTGAATAAATTCCCCATTTCAAGAACTGGATGAACAGCAGTTACAAACAGGCATGTTTGTCCATTAAGTGCCACTAAATTAAGCAACAGGTACCAAATAAAAATGTTAAAAAAAATTAGTTACTATACAAAAGGCCATATTCTTCACCCAAAATCCCTTCAAAGTACCTAATGAAATCAGAGACACCCTGCCATGGATTAAGGGGTCTTAGATGTAAAATATGCCCATGAACCATAGCTGAACAATGTCTTCAAATCCTCCACGCTGCACAAGCTTAACCTCAGCGAAGGAGGACAGCACTGAATATACTTTAAACTGGCATAATGTGTCACTGTCACCAAAAGAAACGGACACACCCTGCTCCCCTTACTGCTTGCTTCCACCCCCATCTTTGCGCCAGCACAAATGTTTGTGCAGCAAACTGATCCAGCTTAAACCTAACCCTCCCCTCCCTACCCCTCCCCCAAGTTCGTTCAAACCTCAACCCAGTTCACCACATAACCATACAAGTATTTGCCTGCACAAAGAAGGAAGCAGCAGAGCGAGGTGGAAACAAACAGGACCATGTTTTTCAATGGTGGAGCTGGTCTATACCAGCGGATCGCCTATGCAAAGTGGTAGGTTGCAGGCTGGAGCCCCCTAGTATCAGTCTCACACTTTCAGGCCTATGCAGTATCACTCTTCCCTCCATCTCTGGGATGCCACCTCTGCTCACACAGCCCCTGACAGGTATGCAACTGCACGGTCATTCAGGTCAGGGTGCCGAGTCAATCAAAAACTGGCTACCAAATTGAAAAGCGTTGCTAGCTTTCAGCTAGTTCAGGTTCCTCAACCAGCTTCCAGTGCAACCCTTACCGGCACAAGGAAGGAAGAGGGGGAAGAAGGCTAGGAAAGCATAAGATCCAATTTTAACCAGCTTGTGATGCTGTGGTAACGCACTTGTACACAGCCACATTTTACATTGAAACTTGTCAAAGGAGCTGACATTGTTATTTTAATTAATTTGTTCCTAAGATTAAACCTTGTCCCATTCTTTTTTCCAGAAACCTAAGCAGCCATAGTGTACTTGGGCACAAGCAGCAGAAAGTGACATCAATTCACTACATTAAACCAGTTTTGCTCTTCATGTTTAATAAAATGAAGATAGAGCATTAGCTACTCTAACTTGATATACTTCCACCAGATATTCTTTTAAATATCACTGATTAAATCACCCCAAATATTTGCATTGAAGAACACAGACATAATTAAACCAATGAAGTCATGTTAAGTCATCTTAACTGTAGTTTAGTATTTACAAGGAATTTAAACGATGGTTCCGGTGATTAAAGTGGTCTTACAAACCTCTTTGCTCAGGAGTGAATTTCATCCACTATTCAAAAAGTTGTTTTGCTTAAACTACAAGACACAATGGTTGCAGAAGTGAACAAAATTAATTTCTATGTGTTCAGAATCAGACCCCTAATAAACATGGATACAGCTACTTTCAAGCTAATTTTTGAACAGTAAAGTGTCATAAGTAAGAGTACAGACAGTTAGCAATCATCTTGCTAACATCCAGACAATAGAAATTCATTACTAGAGCATTAGATTTGGCAGGGAATTATTTCCTATGCAAATAAATACATTTATGTTGAGCCAGTTAACAAGTAAAAGAAACAATCTTATCAATTCAAAAGACAAAACATACCAACATCACAGTTCAAGAACTGGAGAACTGACATGCAGAATCAGATTCATGTATCCAGTCTTCCCAAGTGCCTTGTATATTTTTCCAGTTCATGAAACTCTCCCTTTCTTACAAATATAGATTCTTCCACAAACTACCATCTGCCCATTGCAACAGTAAGACAACCTTTCCTCTCTTTAACAGATTTCTTGTATCATGAGAAAGCGTTCCAAACTACTGTGCCTGTAAGAATTATGCAGAAATGAGAACAGTTTATTTTGACTACAACTCAGCACCAACACTTAAGACAAAGACACTTGAACTGGAAAGTGAGCAAAACCCGGGAAAGCCATTTAACCAGATTAACATGTGACTGCTAGCACACTGTTTCAACAAATGTTTTCAAAGTATTCTTGACACAGAAGCAAATAAACTCAGGGAATCTCGGTCAACAAATAACGTTCTTAATCCCTTTCCATTTGGAACGGAGTTAACAGGGTTTGGACTTGAACTGTTGATTTATACTGATACAGGTTTCTTCTTACGCAGGCACAGACAGGTGTGCTTTTCAAATGCACTTACTAACTGTGGAAGACACACAATGAACTTCACTGGCAGTTCTGCTGACTTTAACTAGAAAACAGGATGCTTATTGGATCTGGAGCCATGTATCTTAATACCAAATTACTTTTAACACAGCAATAAGTCTTAAAAATATTAGTTTTTCAGTCCCCTAATATTGTAGGACTAGCAGAGCAGATTTAATGGTAAATTCATAATACAGAATTACTACTAACATTAATGCCATTAAAGAGATACTTATTCAGAAAACATTTTTGCTCATTAACACTAAATGTAACTTTGTCACTAGCACTTTAAATAGGAAAAAAAAAATAAATCAAAGGCTATTCAAAAAAGTCACAAATAAAATACTGTTAAAAACATTATTAATATGAAATGACAGTTCAATGCTGACTAAAATCAACTCTGATTTCTACAGTATGTATTCACTGCAGTAACAGGATTATTTTCAACTCACAGTCCAACAACATTCCAAGCGATTTCTGGTCATGATTATTACCTCTAGCACCTAGCACATTAACAGCGAACAAGATGCAGTGACCAGGGAGATGAGGAAACATGCTTTCATTTCCCACATGAAAATGGAAAAAAAAAAAAAAAAAGGCACAAAAAGACCCAAAACCTAAACTGCAAGATCAAGGTGAAGAACCGAGGCAAATGAATACGGAGACACCTTTTGACCTTTGCAACTTCATATCTGCCCTCACTACATTCACACATAGGGTTATGTCAGAGGAAGAAGAGTTTAAAACAGGAACAAGTAAGCTAGGTATCACTTTCAGTGATACAGACAGCATCACTTTGAAAGGCCCGGAAGACGCCCTTCCCCTCGAAAGAGGCTCTGTCTGTTGATCCTAACTAACCCACTGACCCGACAGAGCTCTCAATTAAGTCTCAGGGCTCACACCTCGAAAGCCCCAGGACTTGATCGACGACGTGGAACAGAACATGCGCTTGTCTTGAGAAGCATGTGATGGAAGCAGCTGAGCCAGAGGAAGGTGCAGGCGCTTGACAGGTCACCCAAGATGAGGCTGAACTCGCAGACCCGCCAAGCGCGCGGGCGGTCAGGCAGCCGGGCTCCGCACCCCGCGCCAGCCCTGCCCCAGCGAGCCAACCGCCAGCACGACTCGAACGTCTTTTGTTTTTAAACTCACACTCCGCTCACCCACCCCCGCTCGCTCGCTCCCTCCCGCCCCAGAACACGGCTCTGATCCCCCGCCGCCTTCCCCGCCAACAAACGTCCCCCGACCGCAGCCCCCCACAAGCCCGTGCCCCTGACGGTCCCCACCCCGAGGGTCCCAGCCCCGCCACCCCCACAGCGAGCCCCCACACTCCGGACCTACATCTCGACCGGGGAAGGAGCAGGTCCCCCCGCATGGCACGTCCCCGCGCGGCTCTCACGGGAGTAGGCGAGACACGGGGCTGCTCCCGCCCACGGAGAGCCGGGCTCGGGCTCGGCCCCAGAAGACTCCACTGCCGCCCCCTCCCAGCGGAGCCGGCTGGGCATCCCCACGAGAGGTATCCAGGCAGAGAAAGGAAAGGAGCAGCACCCACCTCCGCCATAAGCCCCAGGCTGGCCGCCGTGCCGTGCCGTGCCGAGCCGGCCGGGCCGCTTATGACGGGCAAGACGGCGGCCCCGCAGGTAACGGCTGCGCGTTCCGACAGCAGCGGCAACAGGGCCTCGCTCTGGGCCGAACTGTGCCCGCCACAACTTCCGGGGCACGGCGCGAGCGCCTTCCGGGGGCAGCGGGCCGGGGGCGGGGGCAGCCGGCAAGCGAGCGAGGCGCGGCGCGGCGCGGCGGGGCGGCCGTTAAGGGCGGGGGTAGCGGCCATGTCACCCGGCCCGGCCCCGACCCCAACAGGCGGGAGGGGCGGGAGGGTTGCTCCTGGGTAAGCGGCACTCGGTGGAGAGCGCGCCTCAGAGCGGTGCAGGGGTCAGCCGCGAGAGAGGTGGCCGCGGAGCGGGTCTTACTGGCTTCTCAGGTAAAAATAAATAAATAGAGAATTAAAGGTGTAACTGCGCACACAGCTCTGGACAGGATTGGGTCAGCTGGTTTGGTTTGAATTTCTGGCGAGGCAGTGCTTTCAGTTGCACTGTACAAGGTGCCACAGTGTTTTAGGCACTTGACACGGTAACTCATCAACAGCTGTTGAAGTTGTGCTGTTTTCATTAAGTGCACTACATGCAACTGAAAGCAGAGTGGACAGTGTATCAGTTAAAACCAAAGATACAACAGGAATAAATAGGGTAAGAAGAATAATGAGAGGAAAGTGCAACACCTGTGTGTCGTGCAGCTTTGTGGAAACACCGAATGTTCCTGTTAGCTGGCGCAAAAAAAACACCACATATTTGTTCTTACTGTGACTACCCACGTGTCATCTCGTGTGTTGCCTGTTGACAGACCAATACATGTAACAGGTCCTGGGCCAGAAGACCTTGTAATCTACAATTAATCTTGAATGTGTAATTACTGTCCCAGTACACACACGCAAACCAAAAACATTGCTTGTGGTTAGAGCAGCCAGCAGCCTGCACAAAACTCTCATCAGCTTTGTTTCAGACCATGCTGCATATGTTTCCCTTTTGCTGTCTGGCTTCTTTGGCCTTGCTCTAACTTCTGACCTCTCCTCCAAACAATACCAATTGCCCAGTTACTTCACAGAACTGGTCTATGTATCTTACTTTCACAGAAGTTGTGCAACTCATGTTTTGACTGTGTTTCAGTTATTTAAAGTCTTTGACAGAGAGCAGGAAGAATCTTACTCTGACAGTTGCTCACCCTTCCCTTCTGTTGACAGTCACTGCTTCATAGCAGAAGTGGCAGAAGCACATGGATGACAGTACTCCACTACCCCAACATTAACTTAATCTGTAGGTTGCATGAGAGCTGGAGAAGCTGAAGTCCATGCAGAGATTTTCTTCAGATGTACATGCTAGAAAGGTCATAGTATCTAGAAGGAAAAGGGGAGAAAGCACACAACTGTAATTTGTACCATTGCAGCTGTTGGCTTCTCTGTGTGTGAGTCAGTGCTCAGAGAGCTAGATGGGTAAAACAGAGGAAATGGGATTTTCCTATAACTGAGTCACGTAATAAGTGAAGACACGTAGCAAACTTTGTCATCTAACATACTGTATATGTTCATGTCCCATAAATGTAATATATCAGTGGGTTGCAAAGCAATGACCTGCTCTTAAGACATCTGCAGTATTCTTTGTGACCTTCATATTGTCTGTTATGCACACTTGCCTTGAAGTTTGCTTGGCTTCAGTTGTTGATCTTGATCTGTGAGTCCACATCCAGATAAGTAGTTGTACCTTGCAATTTTTCCACAGCTGCCTCAGCAGCATCTGGATGAGCAAGGAACAAAGTCTACAAATGTCTATTCTGCTGGGTCATTTATTTCTTTTTATACTCCCTCTAGCTCTCACTATGGCTTCACCAGCTCATGTGAATGGCAGAGTTTATATGTCAGGATTTGTATTAAATTTGGATAGCATAGTGCCTCTTCGACAGTCAAGTTCACTGTCTTCATCAAAGGTAAAGTGCTGGTTTTGTTCACCTGCCAAATTGGTTGTCTTTACCATTTACCTGTTTTCTTACCCAGGTCACTCGGATTTACTGACAGACCAATTTTGGATTTAGATACTTCAGGAACTTTGCTGTTCTCTGTGGCTCTTTCTCCAGGTGGTTTCCTGTCTTCTTAAGACCTTACCACATCTCATTCCTGCTGAGAATTTCTGACTGGTCACATAGAATCATAGAATAGTTAGGGTTGGAAAGCACCTTAAGATCATCAAGTTCCCACCCCCCTGCCATGGGCAGGGACACCTCACACTAAACCATGTCAACCCAAGGCTCTGTCCAACCCAGCCTTGAACACTGCCGGGGATGGAGCATTCACAACTTCCCTCCACAATGCATTCCAGTGCCTCACCATCCTTACAATAAAGAACGACCTCCTTATATCCGATCTAAACTTCCCCTGTTTAAGTTTTAACCCGTTACCCCTTGTCCTATCACTACAGTCCCTAATGAAGAGTCCCTCCCCAGCATCCTTATAGGACCCCTTCAGATACTGGAAGGCTGCTATGAGGTCTCCACACAGTTCCTTCTCTTTCTGACTTCATAGATGTTTTGGATCCAAGACATACTGGTTCTTGGTCATATCTACTGTCGTTTTTGTCATCCCAAACTGGGATTACTGCAGCTAGTCCAGATGCTGCATCAATTACTAGTCTTTCAGAGATCGCATATCTGTTTGCAAACTTCTGCACATTATGAACTTAGATTGCTTTAAGTCCTTTGATGGCATCTTCAGTTCTGTTAGATTTTCCTAAACGTTCTTCAAATCAACTTTGAAGTCAGAGACCTCCTCTGTTGTTTCACTATAACTCATATTCTTTCTTTTTAAAAATTAAAATTGCTGCTGACACCTTTAAAGCTTTTCTATAGTGGTTAGCCCGTAGCTAACATTTGTACAATCATTATTTTAGTAGCTAAATGTTTCAGTTTGTTTGCCTGGGCATTTCTTACGTGGTCTTATGCAGTGGCTACTGGGTATGCTAAATGCATGGTTTTTCTGAGGCATCAAAAGTAACCATACATTTCATTGTTCTCTGATTCATAACTGGTGAGTAAACCATTTCATGGTTAAATGTTCATCTTAAAGGTATTAAATTTTAGCACTATTTAGAATTAACTCCTTTATTAATACTGAAACTTTTACCCCAAATGAAAATTTTTAGTTTAACCCATCCTTTTCATTTAAAAATTAGCAGGTCATATAAATATTTTGTAAGGAGTCATTGAAAAGGAAATAGAATTGAGCTGCGTCAGATATACTGTGGCTTGTATTTCCAGAAGTTCTCGTTTCATTGTAAAACGTATTTCAGTGTCAGTTCACAGACCCCTTGTGTTCCAGCTCCAGAATTCTTCCAGGTGGCGCCAACATTTTGTGGTGAGCTTTATCATGAAGTTTGGACTCAGCAGGTCAAGTGCTTTTGCCTGTGGCTTACACTGATTTAGGCAGCATTCAATTCTGGAAACGAGAGAGTCCAGTACCACACAACATTTTAACAGCAGATTCATCTGGTTAAGAAAGTGCTCCCTTATTTATCTTGTATTCTTTCTTTTAATGCCTGAGCCTGACAAAAAGGGGACTCTTTGGGAACAGACTGCCAAATTTTGCATTGTGTTTCTGCAGTTCCCTGTCATGCATTGTTCAGAGATTTGTGGCAACAAACTTCTCAAAGGTATGAAGTGAAGGAGTTACATTTCTTCTTCCCAAGAGCTTTGGAATTTATCCCATTTCATGTGTAGTTTGCCTTCTTATCAGGGAAGTATTTTCTGATCAGTATGAGGTGCGTATTCCCCAGCATGAAGCCTGGATGTATTTTCAGAGATGGATACTGATTAAGATCCTTAATGTTTCAACTATAAATTCTATTCTTGAAGTAAACATAGGAGAGTAAACAGTTTCTGTTAAAAATAAAACCATAGCAATAGCCTCATGACAAATCACAGAACTTTGCAGTCACTTTGTTTTGTAATAAAGAAGGCCTTTGATATGCTATAGGCACCACCTAACCCAGCTATAGGTGTCAGTAACACTGTCTCACAGCATGTATGACTCAGCATCAAAAGCACGTTTCTGGTTGAAATGCGGTACAGAAGCTCGCCCTCTTTCTCTGCTGTAAGAGGCTACCTAGAGCTCTTTTATTCTGACCCCAGAAGTGTCCTTTGGACACTGTAACAAAACCCTTATAAAAAAAAAACAAAACAAAAAAACACCAACACAACAAGATTAAGCCAATAATTTAAACCAGTAGTTCAATACTTCGAGTATTGTCATCATTAGTTAGGTTGTCATCATTTCAGTTAAAAGTAGGGAAAAAATATGTACAATAGCAAATAAAGGTGTTTTGCTGCTGGACATTGTAATTCACATTGCGAAACTTTTCCTGAAATGATTGCTGGAATATGACAGACCTTGTCCTCTTGTTCGTGTGGTATTCAGGGAAAAATGGAGCAGACCTGGTCATCCAGAAATTCCTCAGGTGGCTGTTCATATTGTAATTTGGTTTCCCTCAGTTGAACAGATTGTTTTGTTCTTGTACAAATATACCACTGATGTGGTTAAAGCATCCATGAGCTCTGAGAACCAACCTGTGAAGGGCAGATACTTGTCTCTGTGGCAGTTGGTCAGCAGACTTTTAAAGGTAATACAATATGCTACCAAAACCAGAATTTTAAACTTTAGGTGTTTTCTTAGGCTTGCTGTCTGAGATACTATGTATTCTTGAGATACTAGATGCTTGGTCCTTACCATGTGAATATTGAAAGCCTGGAAAACATCACTGCAAGTGAAGCTGCCTTTTGAGTCTCCCAAGTATATATTCTAATTCACTTCCCTTCACAAATGGATGTTCTCCTTAACCAAATTGATCTGTTTTCATTCCTCTAACAAAGGCTGCCACTTGCAGTTCCTGTAACTTCTTGATGGCTGTTTCCCAAGAGGAGCGTCAATGTGCTGACTGTAGAATGTACACGTCTGCTTCCAACTAGCCTGTGATAACCAAGTGGGATGTAAATCTAATTAAATGCAAAAAAAAAAGCTACAGTGTGTTGCAGTAACATTCAAGATCTGACATCAGCTGACAAAAGCAAGGAAATTCCAAGTGAAGATTGCTGCTATGTCCTTACTTCACCCATTTGTATTTCAGAATTTTAGGGCCTCAGAACTGCACACACTTGACTGTACAAAACTGTTCAAAGAGCATTGTCACAATGTCAGACTTTTAAAAATCAGCAACTTGTGCAACTGTAATTTTGACTCGCTTGTGGGCACAAAGTATGACAGAATTAAGTAGCCTATCATTCATACACTATTTTTCTGTTTTCCCCCTTCCTCATTCAGGACACAGAATAGATGCCTCTTACAGGAGAAAGCAGCTGGTTATTTCAAATCTCTGTGTGCAGCAAGTGCCCTTGGCCTTCTTTATTTATTCATTCAATGAATAAATACTTAGGTATTCTGAGGGCATTTGTCATTGTGTTAGGTGATACTTCATTAGCATTAATGGAATTATTTCTGTGTTTATTTTTCAAGAGAAGAAATACGGTTTCATTATAGTTGCAAGGGAGTGTGGATTAGGTCTGCAGGGGGTGTCAGTACTGCACTGCTCAGATTTGTGGCAGTTAACACTGAAAAACCTTGCTGGTAGGTGAAGTCAGTCACGTCGCAGCTAGTTCTCTGCTCAGGTTTCCTATATGGTCCTTGGTGGAAGCAAGTGAAGAAACAAGCTGGCTATACTGTACACTGTGAAAAGCCCATGACATTTATGTGACTGAAGTTACAGTGACCAGGGATTAGTGGTAAAGAATCTTGTAAGATGCTGGGATGGTGTCAGTTGTGTCCCATGAGCAGGTATTACTGCTCATGCTATTGGAAAATTGGCAGATGGACTGTGTGCCTTTGTATCAACCACTACGATGCTAATTCAGGAGTATTATGTTAGGTCCATGTCACAAACTTATAACCAGGACACAAGCAAATAATTCATTTTGCCAACACAACTACATGGGATGTGTTTCAGTGCAGATGCAAATCAGGTGATGAAGTACAGCTGCAAAACTTAGAAGTGTGTTTCTCAACATCATCAAAACTGAGTTGGAAGGAGCTGCTTGCTCTGCTTGGAGTTCAGTAAACTTTTTCATGTTTAGAAAGAGGTCATGTTTAGACCTAAGGAGGCCCCTTTATACATAATGCAAATATTTAAGGGATAGGAGATACCATCCTGTCCTTCTTCTATAGTCCAGTGATTAGAAACCCTGAAACTCAGCTTGAGGAGGGCCTGCGTTTTGTTTTATGCTCTCTCTGTGAACACAGAAATTAACATTTTTTTCCCCCTTCTTAACTATGTTATCCCAAAAGCACTACCATCTTCACTGAATTGCTCGGACTTGGCCAGTGATGGGCCCATCTTGTAGCTGGCTGGCACTGGCTTTGTTGGACATGGGGAAGCTTCTAGCAGCTTCTCACAGAAGCCACCCTTGTAGACCCCCACTACCAAAACCTTGCTTTGCAAACTCAGTACAAGCAGTCAGAGATGCTTTGGGAACCTCACTGAAATAGGAATTTATGGAATGTAGGCATCTCCATAGTTGGAAAACAACTGGATGAGAATTTTGGCTTTAATGATCAGAAGTATTCATTTTCAGCATCTGAGTCCTTTTGCTGGTGTAGTCACCAAGAGTTGTCTCAGGTCACACAGGGAAATTACTGACAGAGAGCTGGGGTGAGGCTTCAGCATACAGACAAATACGTCAGAGTATGGAAAAATCAACATGGGTTTTTGTAGATAGAGAAGCCTTGTCATAATTATGAAGTTGTTTGACAAAATCAACAAACTGATAAACCAGGGTGATGCATTCATTGCCATGATTTCAAAAGGGCTTCTGGCACAGTCCTTCACCAGTGCTGCTAAAGGACATGAGCAGTCAGAGGTTAGGAAGAAAGCTTGTCTTGTGTTTTCTGTCTTCCCTAGGTGAAGGAGAAGGGTTAACGGGTAGCAATAGTCATTTTTTACACCACAGGAGAGTTACGATTGGACTCCCACAGGGATTCATGCTGGGACCTGCACTAGTTAGCATTTTCAGAAGTGGTGTTGGAAAGAGACTGAGTAAGGAAGCAGCACAGTTTGCTGCTGATGCAAAATCCTTTACAGTAGTGGAGTACAAAGCTGAGAGCAAGGAGTTTCAAGAGGATCACATTCTGCTGAGCAGCAACTAGAAGTTGACAGTCTCAATAGCTGTAAAATAATGCCTACAGGCAAAATCAATCTTAATTGTATGAACCTAAGTTCTACATGTGCTGTTACACCAAAAGAAGTTCTTAGAGCCTCTATAGGTAATTGTTTAGAAACTTAATTTCCAGTTCCAAGTCAAAAATACCAGGAATTATTAGAAAAGGAAGACAGAATGGAGCAGAAATCGTTGTGGCATCCTTGTGTACACCAGTGGTGTGGCCACATCTAGACAACAGTATGAAGTTGGTTTTCCAGGTCAGAAAGAAGGTAAAGGTAGCAAAGAATAATAAAACATAGAGCACAGTTTCTGTTCTACACTTGACTACACTTGGACTTTTCAGTTTGAAAAAAACAAAACAATGCCTAAATGATGGAGGCGAGATATTTGAATTATATAAAATGGTCGTTTGTGGAGAGAAGGTAGGGAACTCTCATGCACTTTTTGTAGTAAGTAATTGATAGCAGGTTAAAACCAACCAAAAAGTAGTCTTTTTTTCAGATGCTGCAGAACTAAAGTGTGGACCTCACTGCTTCCAGAAATGTGGAATCTAAAACTATAATTACTTTCAAAAAGGGACTAAATTCAAAAGAGAGGTGGAGCATTGGTAACTAGTAAATAGAACAGAATACACTGGCCTTTAGTTCAAGTTTTTGCTAACCAACGCTTTACTGAAAATTCTGCATATGAAAAAGGATTATGCTATACCTGAGTTGTTCTTTATACTGTCCTCCTGACTGTGTAGTCCTGGTCATTAAGTTGAGAAGCAAGTTAGGCATACCTGTGGAGTCTGATATAGTACGGCTGCTTTGCAACTAGTACAGGAGTGAAACACCAAGATGGTCAAGGGACTGGAAAAAATGGCAACGCAGACGTAAACCTATCTGGGCTGCTGCACTGTGCAAATATATTGCTGCCCGGGTGCAGAACCTGGTGGTGAACGTTATTAATGAGTGTGAAACGTGCTGCAATTAAACAAGCCAAACGGTTAAAGCCTCTTTGGTATGGAGGACGATGGCTGAAGTATAGATATGGGGAGGCCTGGCAGATTGACTATATCACACTGCCACCAACCCACCAAGGCAAGCACCATGTGCTTACCATGGTGGAAGCAACCACCGGATGACTGGAAACATACGCTGTGCCCCACTTTGGGCGCCAAAAAGAACTGTTGTGGTTTAAGCCCAGCCAGCCAGCTTGTTCGTTCACTCCCCCCGTTCTTGCCCTCCCCCTACTCGTGGAGGGACAGAGAGGAGACTCGAAAAGAATGCAACTCCCACGGGTTGAGATAAGAACAGTCTAGTAACTAAGGTATAACACAGATCACTACTGCTACCACCAATGATAATAATGATAAAGGAAATAACAAGGGAAGAGAATACAACACCTCAGCACCAGACAACTGATAACTCGCCCCCCCAGCCCGACCAAATACCGACCGATACCTCCTCCAGCCCTGCAGTCGCAGCCCTTCCGGGTAACTCCGCATTACATCCTGGGTATGACGTGCTATGGTATGGAATACCTCTTCGGTCAGTTTGGGTCAGGTGTCCTGTCTCTGCTTCCTCCTAGCTTCCCCTCCTCCCTGGCAGAGCATGAGGCTCAGAAAAGTCCTTGGCCAAGCCAAACATCTGAGCGTTATCAGCTCTGTTCCAAGGCCGAAAGTCAAAAACAGTGCTGCACCAGCTACTAAGAAGGGGAAAAAATGACTGCTACTGCTGAACCCAGGACAGTATATTATAGAAGACTGAGAGAACTGATACTGTTCAGCCTTAAGGGGGCAGCTAAGGGAAGATCTTACTGCTGTGGTGTGCATGGAAGGCCAAGTCAGATTCTTGTCAGAGTTACACAGTGGTAGGCCAAAAGGGAATGGACACATGTTGAAACATGGGAAATCCTGCTTAGATGCAGAGATAGATGTATTTATTTATTTATGTATGTATTTATTTATTTATATAATGAAGGTGGTCAAATATTGGAACAAGTTGCCCAGGAAGGTTGTGTGACTCCTGGTAGATACTCAGAGCTTGACTAGATGTGGTCCTGAGCAATCTTCTCTAAGTGGCCCTGCTTTGAGCAGTAGGTGGTCCTTGGTGTCTTCCCAAGGCCCATTGCAACCTGCTTAGTTCCGTCCTCTTAAGATAGGCTCTTACTATTTGTTTGTGCCCTAACTACACATTACTTCATATGGTATATTTTTTCTTAGAAGTGGAATATAGTGGGTTTGGATTAATAAATATATACTAAAGTTCAGTGCAAGAACATAGGGGGACAAGACATTTTGTATTTGCCATAAAGAAAATCCAAGAGTCAGCGAAGGTACTTTCTAAGTGGCTTGACAGTAGTCATTAAAATGCTTTGTAAAAACACGTCAAGAAGAGGACTTGTTTGTCAGGGTGCAGCTGTAGCACAAGTCAGTAAAGGCACTGTTACCCATGCTTACAGTGTTTGTGTTTTACTTCTAATGTCTCCTTTAAACAAATGATACATAATTAGTTTGTCAGACACTGGTGGGGAAGAGTATACCTAGCATAGCATGTGCTGCCATGTCGCCCAATCTGATTGTGAGTGCATATTCTCTGC